TTTCTGATTATTCTCTTCCCACAAGTCTTAAAACTGCAAAGTCTTTCTTCTTATTTTTACCTTATTTCTATAAAGACTTAATAGAAGCTCTTCCAGATCATTATTAAAAGAGAAATCCAGAAACAGAATGAGAATTAGCAAAGAAATATCACAGTTACCTATCAATACAATACAAGACCATTTCTTTTATTTTATTATTATATTTTTTTTATTTTTCTTTAATAATACCAACATGCTTAATAGAATATTAGTTTCTTTTATAAAAAAGAGAGCAATAAGTCTCGAAGTAGTTTTAGCTTATTGAATTCTTTATTTACTTCCAAATACACCTCTGTATATACACTTCACAAATTTGTATAAATATAATTTAGAAATTAATAAAGATTAGATATAAGTCCATTTAAAAAAAAAAAAAAAATTATTTCTACAAATTTATAATAATTTAAAATATTATATAAATTTTTTTTTTTTTTAACCCATAATTATATTACAATTGCATATCTTTATTGAGATATTGAAAGATATCACAATGTTTACAGACTTTTATAAAGTGACCAACTTATTATTATACATTATTAGTTAAAGGACTATATTACTTAAAAAATATGAGGAGTCTACTAAGTTAATTTGGATTAAACAAAATCATATCTAAACTAGGTATTCTAAATTATATTTAAGTAATAATATTACATCCTCCTAATAGTTTAGAATAGAGCCTTTAAATCAATAAGGGTCATTATTAATAGTTTGTTACTATTGATTATCCTAAAAAATAATAAATTGTTAAAGTTGGTATTGAAAAAAAGGGAGAAGGAAAATATAATTTAAATCCTTCAAAAGGTTATTACTTTATTTCATAGTTTCTTTTTAAAAGAATTTGCCTAATCTGAATATTCTCTAAACTTAATAACATTTAAGGAACTTAACTATTCCTGAAAGTGACTTCAAGAAGAATATTTGAGAAACTTATTTCTATCAATGTATGAATTCACTTAATGCTACTAGAAACAATATTATATTATTGAAAAGTTTATCTAATTAGAATAAAGAAATCTTTTCAAAAACTTTGCCTGACTGAAATAGAAGTTTGGAAATCTCAGCTTTTGTTTAAGAAAACATTTTTACTATCTGAGAAACTTAATGAGAGATAGGAATTGATTCTTCTTTTTCTACTTGTTACTTGCCTTTTAGTATTATAATTATTTTCTGGAGGTTTAATATACATGATTGGAGGTGATACCTTTTCTAGAACTTTCTTTTCTATATCATCAATGATGTATTGAGACATATGAGTATGATCAATAGGAGCTTGTTTACATTTTAAAAACTAATGTATTTTATGTTAGCCAATTATCTTTGATAAGAATTTGTGCTACCCAAAATTCAGAATCAAGCTGAGATAAGTAAAATTCTTAGAAAACTATAAAAATGGAAGCTTTAAGAGAATCAAGACAGTCAAAAAAGGAAAAAATAAGTTATTTTATGATAGAAAATCTCTATAAGTCTTTTACTTTAAAGATTAGAAAGACTTTTAGATACTTTATAGTCAGTTCTTTTTTTTTCAGAAACTTTCTTGCCATTGATATCAAAGGTGTTACTTGACTTTTCTTGATCATTAGAAGACAAGTTTTTGAGTAAAGAGGTTTGTAGATAATAGAAAAAGGGTAAAAGTGATTTTTAAAATCATACTTCAAGTTATTTTAAGAAAAATATTAAGACTTTATTAGCAAAGAAGTATAAAAACTTCATGTAAACATTTTTTTTTATATATGGTCAGAGGATCAGTAGAAAGAGGTTTAAAATATTATATAAATCTATTATTTATTATTTTTTTAAAAAACTTATATACTTTTTATAAATTTTGGATAATATATGATATTGTTTGATATAATATTATATAAAGTATTTTTGTTCTTAAAAATTTAGTTATTAATTTATTATATAGTTCTTAAAATATTGTGCTATACTATATTTTGAATTCTATTTTTAAAATTTAAATTTAGTTAAGAATATAAAGTTATTGTTTATCTATTATTATTATTTTTTTTGTTAAGAATTTTATTTATTTTAATTATTTTTTTTTAATTTTTTTTTCTATTGCCTTTGTAATCGACTTTTTGTTATCTATTTAAATTTTTAAAAATTTATATATTCTGATTTATCAAACTTTTTAATTGATTTTTTTTCAATTCTTATATAAATTATTTTTAAATCTTGATTTAGATTATTAATTATAATTAATAATAATTTTTGATTATTGATTTATTAATTATTAGATTTGTAAAAGATTCTTGTTATTTTTAAGATATTCTTAATATCTATATTAAATATTGCAATTCAAATAATATTATTTATAAATATAATAACTATCAAATTTACTTTCTTAATATTATTTTAGCATTATATTTCATATTATAATTATTTATAATATTTATATTATTATTTTAAATTTTATATAAAAATATTCTTCATATCAAGAGTAAAATAGTTTCTTTTGATCTTTTATATTCTTAATTTTTATGATATTTGAAAAATAGTTGTTATAAATAACTTAAATTCTTTATTCTGAAAGAGATTATAATTATTTTTATTAAATCTTTAAAAATTTGTTTCTTTTTATTACTTTACCTAATATTTCGAAGCTAATTATATTATTTATTTTAACAGTATCCTAGAGTAGAATCCATGGTTTTTTTTTGTTTTCACTTGTCTCTTTGCATATGTTGTTTAATACTTGTATAGATTTTACTTTATCTTTTTCTAATAATCTAACAAAGTTTAATCTATGCAAAATATTATACGGTATATTTTATATACATTTACTAACCTGTTCATAAAGATTTTAGTAAAGTATTTATAAATTATTTTTAGCAATATTATAGACTAATTTAAGTTAAAATTGATAATATCTTTTTACAAATCTATTTATAAATATAATTTTTCATTAGTTAATAAAATAGAGTTATAGAATTGTTTAGTATTAATAAGTTAATTTATAGAAATCTTGTGATAAATATGCCTTATTATATTAAGATATTGTTAAAATTTCAAAAGGGGATTTTATAAAATATTAATTCTAGGTGATCAATGGCGAGGATGTGTACTTTGTTATGAAAGTAAAAGAAAGATTCTTGTTCTAAAAACTGGTTATTAATAATTTTATAATCTGCTGTTATCACTCTCACATTCAATTTATAAAAAAAAATTGGTAAGAGAATTAACTTTATGGTTTATAAAATAAAGGATCGGATTTTCACAAATGTAATTAAGTCCCGGTTGAATTTTTATATCTAGATGATATAAATTGGGCGAAATTTATTATTTTTTTTGTCCCCACTGTACATTGATTGATATACTGTATATACTGTATTATAAATTAATCATCGGGCGTTACTTTTTGATACCGATTGTACGTGATTTTAAATAAGTTAACGTGATCCAACAAATAATAGAGAAAAATAGTCTCGACGGTTCTATAACTATTATACAATGCCTGACAGACACGTCTCCATTATTAATGACATACCATATATAAATTAAGTCTGATATTTTGATGAGAGGATTGAACAAACAGTTACAAAAAGTCATCTTCCTCATCGGCTATTAAAAATGCCCCATTGGACAACGTGTCGATGTCCATTGAAACACTCGTCTCCCTAATGTTGTTGAAATCAACCGTTGCATTTCGTGTTTTCCTATTTTTTTCATTTCTGTAAGGCAGTTTTTTTCAGCAGTATACGATTAATTAATAAAGTACATTAAAATAAATAACAAGAAAGACATTAAATAATATTTTCCTTACTTTCTGAACATCACAAAAATCCTTACAAGCTGTATCACGTTTCTTACGATCAATAAGATCAGATCGAGTATTTCCTCTATTTTGTGCGAACAACCACCTTTCAATAACAAAATGAGGGTGAATATGCATAGAAATACGAGAATTATGTCAATGATGTTGAACACCGATTTCCAGAATAGCTATTTATATAAACAAAGATGGTGAGATTTTGAGTTTAATGAGTGAAATAGATCAAAAAGATCCGATATTTGACAAACCTTTTTTAACGCCAAAACCCTAGTTACCACTTCTGCTATCATGACCGTATTAATTATAACTTCGAGTGTAATGAAACCCGCAGTTTGACTATTAACAAAAGAGTAAAAAATCTTTAGAAAAGAAGAAAAAAAAATAAAAAAATAAAATAAAAATAAAATAAAATAGAATAAAATAAATAAATAAATAAAAACTAAAAATAAAAAGAGAAAAAGGTTTTTACCATTCTTCAGTCAAAGACTATAATTAAAGAGTACACGTGAAAAAAAATGTGGATAAAAGCAGAACCTCAAAAGATGTGTGGATCACGCATACCAGTACGATAGAAACAATACTCAATAAAGCCATTCCCAAGTACAACCATGAATAAAATCTTGAATAAATGATTCGGTTGGCCACTCCATGAACAATCTCTGCCCGTGATAATGTGTATTGGGTGTGAGGATTACTGTTATTCCGTTCATAAGAAACACGAAGTAAGAATATTAGAAACCGATTGGGCACTTGAAGTGAACTATTGAGGTGGTTTGCTTACGGGTGTGGGTTCTGTTGGTTGTTTCCGGGTATTAGAATGGTGACATCGGTAGCCGACATTGTTTTTTATAAAAGTAAGCCCAAAGGTAGTTGAAGAAGGAATGAATTGATTTTGAATTTGTAGTAAGGAATGTGAAATGGGAAAGAAAGGGTTAAAAGAGGTTTCATTTGAAGCGATGTCGATGGAGCTTATTTGTATTACGACACGTGCGGAGAAATATGATTAATGTAACAAATTTATTTCCGCCGGGTTTATCATGTGTGCCTAACATTTCTGCATGTATATTATTTTGCATTGCATTATACGCTAGATTTTATTCACACATAATAACAATTATTTCGATAGTTACGTAGTATAATCATTATTCGACCATATTTTAAGCCGCAGAACTCGGAAAATTTCCCATGTTCAAATTTTTGCTTCGACACCAGAACAAACTTCCTGTGTGAGGAAAAATGAAATAAACCACCAAGATTATCTTTTTTTTCTTTTGGTTGAAGTTATGGGCGCCGTTAATATGTATTTGTCAACGAATTCTCTTGCGGCGAAATCACCCTTATTAATGACCGAGAAGATGCTTAATGCATTTATAAAATAGTATATAAGAACATATTTCGTGAGGGAATTTTTTTTCACCTGATCATGGTATATGGCTCCAACCAAGGCCTGAAGAGCTCTTCCGGTAACGAATTCTATGCCTTTGGGTTTCAGTTTGTGTCCTTCTTGATTTGCCATTTCTACTTCTTTCGCGTTAATCTATCATCGTCCATCAAATTTATGTCGGCAAGATCACGGAGCGATTGATGACATGAAATTTGATTCCACATACCGGTGTCCAGTATAAAAGTTCGTCTAATCCCATCTTCTGTCCTATCATACCCAGGTTGGTAGAGTGCTTCGTGTACAGTTCGACTTTCTCGTGCAACTCCTCTGGCGGCACTCTATCTATGAAAAATTCGGCCGCAAAGAGTTGTATCGCCTTTTGGCCTGTAAATAAAATTTTTTTTCGGTGTTAGGTTCGATCCCCCGTGATGCCAATAATAATGAAATGTACCTAGATAATCCAATCTTTCATTTGTCGGAGCTGTATTGGAGCTGACAGATTTATGAGTGCAAACTTGATGTATTAAATCCTCATTGGAAAATTTTATTCCGTGTTTCTTGCAGAATTCCAAGTGTTTGTCTTTTTTGAAAGGTTTTGTTTCATTGTCTGCCATTGTGACAAGTGTAGCATTTTGCAAGCTCGTCCTAGAATGAAAACACAATTTCACTATTTTTAAAGAAACAAATTTAGAACGCCTACTCATGTGAAAATGAATGAACATCTGACGATACACTCACCATGGTGAAACAGCGTCTTTTGCGCGGAAAGCTGTATTCTGAAGTTTGATAACATTTGGAGTAAAAAACCTGCATCTGGATCTTCACAATGTTATCGGCGAATCAAATTTCATACAAACTGAATTTTTTTTTCTTAATTTTTGACCAATTGTTAAAATTGCAAATTTTGTGAGAGAATTATGCATTACGTGCAAGTGAGAGAGAGGACCTGCCCCAGTTTTTATTAAATTAAGTCTATTTTACAAAAATCTTTGATTTCTATTATGAAATATCTGAAAAATTTCTATTATCAGGGAATATGCGTAAAGCCATTTCATGTCAACTTTTGTTGCTTTGAAGTTTCCAGCGAACATTCGAAAAGGTCGCATCGTCTTCCATCTCCGAAGCAGTGTGTGTAACCCTATTGTATTACCAGAAATTTTCTGCCGGGAATGCGGTATCCCCAATCGAAGTATCACTTCGATTATGTGTCTCTTCCTTTGATACGTGGTGGGTGGCAGGCGGAAAATTTCTGATCGCACACTGATTCGGAGCATGTTGACTAATGCATTTCCTAGAAGGAGTGCTATGCAAGGATGATGCAGCATCTGACAACACAGAAACATCATAAATCCTAATCGTTAAGGGATAGGTGTTAAAAGAGAAAGTTGGAATTAGTAATTGCGGCTTTTCCATTGCTACGTTTTCGTCGAGGTTTTATTATTATTACTGAACTTTGGTCTCCTCACATGAAGCGTACCATGCAGCCGGATCAGCCCGGATCAATAAACTTCAAATTCAAATGCAGTGTGCTATTTGTTCGGGCTGATCCGGCTGCATGTCATTGGCTTCATGTGAGGACCTCTCACAAAACTGGAAGTGACACTGTAAAAAATCGCAGACGGGAATGTTTGTTTCTTAATTTATTTTTTTCAATTTTGAAGAAATTGAAGTTTTTCATATGCGTAACTACTTAAAACCCTAATAAAAAAAAAAAAAGTTCTAGAATAATACAAGAAAAAAATACACGTACAAATTTTGTAAAGAATTAAGAGGAGTGGAACTACCTAGTAGTAGTAGTAGTAATAATAATAATAAGGCTAGAAAAAACTAATCATTGACGGAAGCCTGATAACCACGACCCTCGCCGATCGCTCTTTCCCTGCTGTGCTTGGGCTTTTTACAATGTGTAGGAATGGGTTTAAGATTTAATGAACAGCCCAATGAAAAAATGAGAACTAGTTATTTCTACTTAGTGTTTTATTTACGTTGATTCTTACCAAACGCATTGTTTATTGTTGAGCCGATAGCTTCGAGCCTAGGAAGAGGTAAAATGTAAGAACACTTTTTGAGTAAAGAGAAAGGTGATGAACATTATGAATAGTAGCGATCGTACCCATTGGCACCATTGGCATCACCACCAATACCATTACCACCACCACCGCGGAGAGGCTTGGCAATACGATAGATGGGATTATTTGCAAGTGAGTTTGCGGATTTTTGAGCTAAGAAATAGTGAGACCGGGTTAATAAGAATGATTGGGATGTGGGATGTTTTTCAAAATAAAGTCGGGGGGGTTTTTTTTCTCCTTTTTGAAGACTTACATCTGGCTTGTTCTAATCGTTCTCGAACAGCTTGTAGTTGTGCCTCGAACCTAAATATAAGAATAATTGGTTGAGCAAAGAATTACAAGACCACCATTTTCCAACTTCCATTATTACACTTACTTCTGATTCTGTGAAGTGAGTTTCTCTTGTGCGTCCTGTAGCAAGGCTTCCAGAGCCTGGATACGTTCATTGCGAGCAAGAAGTTTCCGCTCGGCGATTGCTACTTCTTTCTTTAGTGATGCATTTTGATCAACGAGCTTCGGAAAAATAATAATAGTAATAAAAAAGGAATAATTAGTTTTTTCAATGCTCGTGCTAATGCCTGAATCGGATGTCCTTGAGTAATTACTTGTTTTTGCACGTTCGTTAGCTGCTCCAAATTTCTCTCTAGGAAGGCCATCTTCTTTTGTTGTGCCTTGTTGTTGTTGTTTCTTAGAACGTTGTTGTACTGTTCTCTCGTTTCATCTAATGAGATCTCAAGTTCAACCACCTTTTCACATCGGTTTTGCAAATCACGCATGAGCGCCTTCTTCATAACATCGAAGTCGGCCAGTTGTTGCGCCATGGTCTTACGAATTCGTTCCATGTCCTTTTCTTTCTCGACAACATTTTTCTGGGATTCGGACTTGGCATCCCGGTCACTGAGTACATTCTAAATTCACAGAGAATGGATCAGTCGTTAAAATGAGTACAAAACAGCTTCATGGGGTATTTACTTACACTCGGGTTGACCCTTACCTGCAGCTCCTCATTTGCTCTCTTCAATTCGGCAAGAGCACTATCATTCAGGAATATATTAAAAGACAGACCACAGAAACTATCAACTGGTCATCATGAAAGGAAAAAGAGAAAACAAACCTGTTGAGTTTGTGTAGTTCTTCGTTCTTCTTTTCTAATTCTTGTTTCAATTCATCAATTTCTTTCTGTTGTAGTTCTTTCTTTGCAGCGAACTGAGCTTCTAGTTTACTCTAAATTGATTTTAATCAAAAAATGGTTAAGATCAATATAATTTATTTATTATTTTTTTTTTTTTTAAAAAAGAAAAAAATAAATAAATAAAGCCTACTCTTAATTCTGCTATCGTCTCTGTGATGTCAATGTTGTTGTTGGCTTCTTCTTCAGCAATCGTCTTGTCTGTGAAGGATCAAGAATTCGATTAGAAAGATTCGAGAAATAAAAAGATGAAAAGGTGTAATCCCTTACCTAGTAGCTCTTCATACTCGAGTTCTAGAGCATTTAGTCGAATCTCAAGTTCATCTCTTTTCCTCGTCAAGTGTTCATTCTCATTATGCAATTCGTTAATGGTTTGTTCATGTGTAGCTACTAGCGACTTCGATTCGGCCAACTCGCGGCGTACGGTCGCGAGCTCTTCCGTCGTGAGTGAAGCACTACCTTCGTTCTCAATCGATTCTAGTTTAAGCAGCGTATCACGAATTTGCTTCTCCTTGGCAGAGATTACACCCGATGGATCAAGTTCAGCAAACATTTGTGCCATCTTCTCTTGCTTCTTTTGCTCCTTGTCACCCTCCTTTTGAGCAGCCCTGAGTTCTGTGAGAGATTTCTATTTTACAACATAAAACGACATCAGCAATAGCTCGCGAATATTCGGTCCTCGTATGTCTGCGGAATGTTAAGGGTGTGGTTACCTTGAGCACCTCCAATTCATTGGTCAACTCCAAGTTGGCTTCTCGTAGTGTGTCAATGGTTATGGCCCCCTCCTTGTTATCATAATTGACCTTTTCCAATTGGACCTTTAGATTATTAATCTCGGTTGCCATCTCCTTGTTTTCCTAATAAGGAAAAGGGTAGACAATGAGGGTCGGTGAAAATGAAGGGATGCTCATTTCTGCGTACAACCAGCAAACGCGTAATGACTCACCTTTGTGATAACTTCCTCTTGCGACTTGAAGGAATCGAGTTCTTCTTTCATTTCGGCAAGAAGTTTCTCTTGATTGGAAAGCTGTGACTCTTTCTCGGCAATTTGGTCTGTGAGTTCGTTCTCTCGTTTTAAGAATTCCTCTCGTTCATCCTTTTCTAATATTGGAACAGGAGTGCTCGGTCGAGATTCAAGTTCCTTCTTTGCGGCCTCAATTGCTGGATTAGATGGAGTGGTAGGTGTGGAAGGTGTGGCAGGACCTGATGATGATGATGCTTTATCCATTGAGACCCATTTTTCCTTCGGTACAGTTCCACCGTTACGCCAAACACCAATTTCACCCTCGAGGGCAGCGATATATTGTTGGAAGCTAACGGCTTCACTCTTGGCCTTCTTGAGAAGAGCCTTGAGTTCAGTTGGGCTAAGTTCGGCGTTAACTTTGGCCTTATTCTTGATGGTCTTTGCCCTATAGTGGCATAAAAGCTAGATTATTAAACAATGTATAGAGAAACATCCACTCCCGCAAAAGAGAAATTCAACGTCACTCACCTCATACCAAACCTCAAAGTACTCAAGGTTTCAGCTTCGTTGAAGGAAGAAGGAGAACTGTTTATGATCAACGTCGTTCGCGAGTTACCACCAAGAGATTCTTGAAGAATTCTGGTAAGTTTACTGTCACGATACGGAATGTGCGTTGACTATGAGACGAATGAATGGAGAGATGAGCGGGGATGCGTGGAAATGAAAGGAGAATGAGAACAAAAATAAAAGATAAGAATTTGATGAGCACCTTTCCATCGGTCAAATTGTTAATGACCATTCCCAATGCTGACAAAGACTTGTTAATCTTTTTGGCTTCTTCCAATGTTTGACCAGATGCACCAGTTTTGCCGACCTAAAATTCCCGATATCATTTAGACGTCGAACAAAAGAAGATTAACGAGATGGTCATCACCTCAAGGATACCAACCTTTTCAGAACCAGCTAAATCGACGAGAGAAAGTTTGCCACTCTTTATGCTACCATCGGAGAGATTCTTTTGGCTGACGGTGATGACAAAGATCGAATGGGACCGCGAACTTTCCGCGTTCATGTCTGCGAGTAAACAACGGTGCGTGATAAATGGTCAATAAGCAAATCAGAAACAAATCATTTGAATCATCGATTGCCGGTCCAGAACGAGGGTCTCAGCTTACTTGTGTACGCTACAATACGAGCACTGCCACCACGCTTCATGACCTCGTACACCTCTTGCACAGAGCTCACGTAAACTTCCAGTAGACCCTTGACATATACTCCTCGATTCTTCTCCTCGTGAATAGGTAGATTGTCATTTTGGGCTAAAGATGTGAAGTGAACAGGAAGTTTAATAATCCTGATTGCTCATTGTCAGGATGATGAGTATGGTAGATGTTTATATACTAACGATTAAGCAAGTCACGGATTCTTTCCATATAGATTTCCATATATGAAACTTTTACCGTGTACTCGATTGTGGACGGGGAGGTAAGGATGCTGTAGAATATCTGTTCGACGATTCGAGGAATAAGACCTTTGAACTCATCGTCATCCATATTTCCCTAAATTTAAAATATTTCATTGAGCATCTGCCGTGAGGCTTGAAGTTGAGTTGAAAAGTGATCTCACCATCATGGTGTGTGTCTTTCCGGAACCGGTTTGACCGTAAGCAAACACAGTTCCATTATAACCCGAGAGGACCTCTGTTTTGGGATGGAAGAAGAAGATACGTGAGAATTTGGTGACCTTGGAAAATGGTGTGCACTCCAAAATCCATCTCCAACTTACCGTCGACGATCGGTTTTATGGATTCATCGAATACGGATTTCTGGGCCGTCTCCGGTGGGAATATTCGATCGAATGTAAAATTCCCTTGAAATTCCTTTCCCTATTAAGGAAACAATAATGTGAGAATTCCATAGCATATACCTTAAGGAGACTTGCGAATGACGTTCCCAGAGTAGTGGAATTCGAGAGGAAATGAATAAATTAGAAAAAAAAAGAAACGAAAAAAAAAGTTCCCATGAAGAATAGGGAACTCACGACATTCTCATGTATGGGGGGATAGTAAAACTGCCAGGAGAATTGCAATTCAACCGAACGCATTCAAATTAAAAGTCGTTACTGACCTCCATGTGACATGTATCGCCATTATCATCGTATTGAATAATTGGAACACCACCTTCCTTAATTTCACGGGAGTTCTGTGGTCGAAAACGACACACCACTTTGATATTGTTTCCTGCGCTCATTATGTTTATCTAATTCTAACTGGTATTACTCTATCTTGTGTCTCTGCAAGCGAGATGAGGCGAAGCAGCAATTAGTACGTGACGGTAATTGACTCGCAAACCTTTTTAGCGCGCGTGAGCGCAAAAGGAAACGGATGAGACTCACCGCTCGGGAATTCCCGTCCGTATTCTTGTTCTTATGGTTCTTAGAGATTTAAAAAAAAAAAGAAGAAAAAAAAAAAGAAGAAGAAGAGAAAAAGCGTATTGAGGTTGGAGAAAGATGAAGAGGCTTTACTATCCCTGGTGATAAGGTTGACAAAATAATTAACTATCTAAAATAATGTTTAAGGGTATATATTATATATGTAAAGTTTTTATTTAAAAAATTTTTTTTTTTTTTTTTTTTTTTTTATGCTTTTGAATTCTACCTGCGAAGTTGAACCAAGACGAACTAAGGGGGGGGGGGGGAAATGACAAAGGGACAGTTCTCCTGAACCCAAAAACTTTTTGGATTCGGTAAGATTATATACAATAAATGATGAGCACTATGTGTGTATATATATATAATAATAGTAGTACTATTTACAATTGTTACAAAAAAGAATTGGAATGCCTAATTTAAATAATCCAACATTGTACACATAAAACAATACTGCGGGACCGTACATATTCAAGGTAGGAACTTTTTGACGTAAGTCATTCGTTCCACTATACTACAATTTGACTAAATAAAGTACAAAGGATGACCGATTAAGACGGGCGCTGGAGAAGCAGGTGGCGAATATTAAAGACAGTAAGTGCCAATGTCACGTAACCCATCACAATCTAACTGTAGATAAGCATTCCGTGTCACAATCTTCTAGTTTTTCCATTAGAAATATAGGTGATTTTTTAAAATTACCTCTAGGTTTTTATGGTCATTCGCTCATTGTTGGAGACCTATGCGTTTTGCATTGCTGCAACAATAGCCGCATTCTTATCTGTCTCATGCTGATGCATAATTTTTAATATCATGTATGGAAAGGAATTACACTACCCTAGTTTCTTTTCGTATGATCAACTTAGCGCAAATGGTTTCGGGGTATTCTTGCAAGCGCATTTTGTATTTGACGTTTTACCATTGTCCGCTTTCTACAAAATAAACAAATCTCGAAATCCTCCTACAACATAACGTGAGCACAATATCTGTATTGAAAGTTGTTGACAGGACATTCTCGGAATTGGAGTTTGCGTGATACTTAAAAGATCTGTTAATGTAAAAAGTTGTTGTCGTTGTTATTGTTGTAGAATCACCGGGTGAATGATAGGCAACATTACAATCTCAAGAAAATCGGGTCAGTGCATGACATGACGCCTATCGAATAAAGTTTGATTGCATATTTTCTGTTATATCGATAATTTCTGAATTGATTTTTTTTTTTTTTTTTTTAAAGGAAAGAAAAAGAAAAAAAAAAAAAAAAAAAGAAATGATCCCCTCGTAAGAACTTTAAATTATAATGTCCATGCCCGATTGATTGAAATTAGGTTAACTACGCTATCAACTATCAAGGACGAAATTGCTTTATTTATAAAACTCAAAGTCCGTGTCGGCTTTCTTAACGTTCGCCTTATAACCCTTTTCAATGTCTTTACTGAGAATAACATAACGATTTTTTCGAACCGCCTGCATTCCGGCCTCCTGACATATGGCGTGAATTTCCGCACCGCTAAGTTTGTCGGGCCGTGATACGACTGGAATTGAGGTTTCGATATGTTTATTAGGTTCGAGACCGGATAAGCCGAAATAGTGCAATGATAATGTAAGCGTGAACACATACAATCCTCGAGATCCACCTCTTCCGAAAGATTCATATTCGAGGTGATGGTGGAAAAGATCAAACGTTTTTGGCGCCGATCGGGTGTGGGGAATTCGATCTTTCGATCGAGACGGCCAGGCCTAAGCAGGGCCGGGTCCAAAGTGTCGGCCCTGTTCGTGGCCATGATAACCTGTAGAGAAGAAGAGCACGCATTTTGAAATTCTACTACTCGAAAAAAAAAAAAAACGCGCAATCGCAAGAAAATCAACGGCACATAGATGAACTGATAATTCATACTTTGACGTTTGATGTCTGATCAAATCCATCCATCTGATTCAATAACTCCAGCAAGATTCTCTGCACTTCACGATCCGCGCCTGTTTGTGCATCAAACCGTTTGGTCGCAATTGCATCTATCTCATCAATAAAGATAATAGCCGGAGAGTTTTCACGGGCCAATCGAAACACGTCACGTACCATACGGGGTCCTTCGCCCAAATACTTTTGCACGAACTCCGATCCGACCACGCGGATAAAGGACGCCGTGGTGTGATGAGCAACCGCCTTTACAAGCATCGTTTTCCCTGTTCCCGGTGGACCGTACAGCAAAACCCCACGTGGGGGATCAATTCCAATTTGCTTGTATAAATCGAAATGCGTCAACGGCAACTCCACTGCTTCCCGAATCTCTTGCTTCTGAATATCGAGGCCACCCACGTCCGCGTACGTCACGTCCGGCTTTTCTTCGGCGCCAAGCATCGCAATGCTGCTGTCTGCCTCGGGTGGTAACACATCGACCAGAGAGTTTGAGTGACGGTGAAGAGCGACCGAAGAAGAAGGCTTGAGTAATTCCCGATCGATGGTGCTTAAAATCCGAACGACGTAGTTTGATCCCGTCGTGGAACCAACAATTCCTGTGTGCTGGTCAATCGGCTCTAAGAATTGTCCGATGACCAACGGCACAGACTGAATACGCTTGACCTCTTCCTGAGCCCGGATCAATTCCCGTTTGAGATTTTTTTGCTCATCCTTTATATATTCTTCCTGAAGCTCGAGAAACTCGAGGTGCCTCATGTGCTTTTTATATTTAATGTACAAGTCGGCCTCATTCAAATCTTGGAGCAGTTCATTTGTCTCCGAGTGAATGGTGATAGGATCCTGTTTGTAGAAAAGTCATACATTAAAATTCTAGGGTGAATAAATTCCGACGCGATTTTTTTTTTTTTTTTACAAGTCTCACAAAAAAGACTAAAGCGAAAAAGCATTGCATCAAGACTTCTGACCTCGGTTCTAACCGCCATGTTAATTTCTTCCATCACCAAAGAATATGATGAATTAGGAAAAAGAAAAAAAAAAGGACTCGTTAGCTTGCGTCATCCGTTTACTCCAATCTACCAGATGCATATCGTGCGCCAACCAATCAGAAATCCACGATATCGTCAAAACTCCAAAATGCTAACCCGACCTACCTACGCACGTACTTTACGGGAGTCAATAATATATCATGTCCACATTTAGCGGAGGTTTGCAGATTAGGTTCGAATATCAAACGAAGTTCGTGTAATTTCAAGACACCTCGCTGACAACTTTACGACCTTTCATTAAAATAGACGAAGTTTCAGCTGTAGTTTTGGACATAGGGTCGGCCTGGACTCGTGCGGGTTACGCTGGAGAGGATGCACCGAAACTCGTTTTCCCAACCTCCTATGGTTATCTTCCGGAAGAAGAAACAGCAGCTACCGACGGAGACGCCGTCATGACTGAAAGCAGTGACGCGACCGGAGGAGACGTTGAAAACTTTGAACCGTATTACCCGCGAAGAAGGAGAAGGCCCAAGAAACATAAAGGGACGTATATAATAGGAGACGCGGCTGTAACAGCTTGGAGACCCCACATGGAAATTAAGAACCCTCTCGTTGACGGAATGAGTACATACATAACTCTTTTTCTTATGCGCACAAATATTTTCGATACAAAGATCACAACGGACAATCATTGTCCTATCATCTTTCCAATTGTTAGTACAGGATTGGGACGCTTTGGAGGAGATCTGGGATTACATTTTTTGGGAAGATCAACTTGATATCGATCCAAAAGAACATCCTTTGTTTGTGACCGAGTCAGCCTGGAACTCCAGAGAAGCTAGAGAAACCCTTACCGAACTCGCGTTTGAAAAATACCAAACGTTGGCTTTTTACGTGGCAAAGAATCCCGTGCTCTCTGCGTATCCTTTCCGTCAACTCCTCTGATCACATTGAACAGCTCTGATGGTCATTTGTACCTTAACACTTTATCATGCATATATGTAGATTCGCGGCGGGTCGACCAACCGCCATCGTTCTCGATTGCGGAGCGAGCGTCACAAGCTGTGTTCCGGTCGTCGATGGCTACGTACTCAAAAAAGGTTTGACGCGTTCCCTTCATTGAAGTTTTACTGATTTTCAACAAAAAAGTAACGGATCCCCGGTTTAATCGTTTGTAGGAATTTATAAACAACCGATCGCGGGCGACTTTCTATCTGAACAGATATTGCAGCAATTTCAATCAAGCCCTGAAGTTGAGGTGATACCGCATTACCTGATTGCAAAAAAGTCATTCGTGGATCCCGACAAACCATCCAATAAAGTGTTACGCGACAGACCGAACACGACCAACAGCTATCATAAATTTATGCAAATGGTAAGAACCGGTGGGCAACTTTGAATATTACAATTAACCTTGGGGTTGGCGTCAAATCGATCGCTGATTATCGGCGAAAAAATATTGATATAGAGAGTAATGCACGACTTTAAAGAATCGGTGTGTCAAGTGTTTGAAACATCTTACGATGAATTGTATGTTCTTGCTTTTATTTCGCTGCCGTATTTATTATCAAGAACAATCAACTAAACACTTGCTTGAAATTGTATTTAAGAGTAATCTCCGCTCGGCCTATGAAAACCTTTGAATTTCCTGATGGGTTCAATACGTCGTTCGGCCCACAGAGGTTCAACATTCCCGAGATCTTGTTTAATCCACAGAGATTCCTAGCCCAAGTAAGATCCCTCCCTAGTGAGTCAATTCGATATAGCTGAATCATTTGGGGCCCATGATAACTGTAAACTTTTCAGTCACCGGAAGGCGTCGACATGTCATCATTACTGGGAATACCCGAAATGATCTATCATAGTATTAACTCCTGTGACATTGATGTACGACCTCATTTGTGGAACAACATTATCTTGACCGGAGGGACCACCATGCTGCCCGGATTCCCCGATCGCATAAACAATGAATTGAGCATGATGATGTCTGGGGTAAAGTATTCCGTTTATTATTATTATCTGTTCGATTTTGGATGTATAAATCGCGTTTTTAAATACGCGCCGCTGTTCTGATGATATATAACGAATTACCGCAATAGCAGATGAAAATCAAGATCCACGCGCCTGGAAATACTATCGAACGTAAATGTAGTAGTTGGTTGGGCGGATCCATTTTGGCTTCCCTGGGAACGTTCCATCAACTGTGGATCTCTCAAAAAGAGTACAACGATTATGGAAAATCTATCGTAGAAAAGAAATGCGAATAATCTAATTTCCGATTTTACTTATCGATGCGAGGTTGCGTGAGCCATACCAGTGAATATAGACGATGAGTGTAGTTCGTTTATTAGATCATGCCAGAGGTGTCAACAATTCTGACTTTGAATTCACTTCGCCAATATTCAAATGCACATTCTCGAGATATAATATTATTAAATAAATGTAAAGGGTCGTTAACCAGATATTAATTACCATGATGTATCTAGTAATATTAAATGATTTTTTAAACAACTCGCGTAATAACGCGTCACAGTTTTTTGAAAGCTGCTGCAGTTGACGTGTTTATAATGGTCCAAGTTTTGTGCAACTCGAGTTTCGCGTAATTCGCGTAATCCTGATCAGATCTGCGTAACCCAAGTTTGCATAAATTAAGTCTAAAATGCTTTTTCATTTCACTTTTTACTTCATCTGCTCCACGCGTTTCATAACGACCAAAGATGACAAAAAAATAAAAAAGCTCGTGAAATATTAATAGGCTAGCAAAAGGAAAATGGTAAGTGGAGGTAAGGTGTGATAGATGATTTGCGCTCCTTGTTGCACTCCGTCCCGGCAAGAAGGCAATGGTTGGCTGGATGTCAGCCGATAGTCGGTGCATTGTCAGTAGGTGTCTCATTCACTAGCTCTCACGTTGCTCCCGTTCCAACGGGGGCTATTGTTTACTGCTAGCTGGTATCTTGGAGATCCTGGTGAACCATGCAAGATTATCGGCATACAGACGTGTGACACCGCACAAGGACGACCTTTAAGTCTCAGACATATATTTATTTTTTATTATTTTTATTATTATTATTTTTTTTTTTTACCATAAAATAACCCATCGATGTGTTTGTTGCACACCCATTTTTCCGTTCACTTCTTTTTTACACGATCAAGCATTATTTTCATAAAGCTGTGAACTTTATCAAATGCGCTAATATCCAATATCGCAGTAGCGGTTCCTCTTTTCGGACCATTGTTATGCGATTCTTGGTTCTCATAATTCCGAATTCTTAAATGGATCGAGGCCTGGAGATCGCAGGATGCACTCTATGGGCGCAACGTCCATCTCTGACTGAACTCTTCACTAGCGAATTGATGCGTTATCTTCATGTCGTATTCCCTTTCGGTAACTGAAAGTTACCGGATGAAAACAAGATCTCCATACTCTTTTCCATTCGAGGCACGAATAAAATGGCGCAAATAGTGCCCATTTTATGCATTCACAATGGTTGATTTGTGTTCGTCGCTTGCATGCAACTTGGACCCAAAGTTGATCTTTATGGCACCAAATTTGATTCTTTTGCAATTTCTGCGTGCTCTGGTCATCTTGGTTGATTTTATGATTTGTTTCCCTGGCTATAGTTTTTCCGGGTAATGCTGATATTAATTTTATTTAAGTTCTGTTAAAGCGCATGGGACTTGAGGCTGAGTTCTTGCGCGAAATTTCGATGGTAACATCCACCAAATTGCTCTAAACGATAGATCAGCCTCAACTTCCCGAAGAATTCGGCGCCCGAGACGTTTATCGATAATCAGTTTGTGCCTAGTATGGTTGGTCGATTTCGGCCGGATCGTCAATTATTCGGGTTATTTTTGCGGAGGGCATGCTCTCCAAATCTTTTTTGCGACCTGATCTCATGTATCGCGCACCATCTCGTACTTAAATATACAAATGAAGCGGAAAGAGAAATCTTTTATGGTCACGTAAGTGTACGATTAATGCCTAATTATTATATAGAAACTCTGGTGCATGTTAAATCGCTTCGTTACCTTCCTAATGCGGTGTCATTCATCTTCACTTCTTTGGCAGAGTCAACTGATTTGAAAGAGAACTATTCGGTTATCTCGCACGGTAAAGACCGTGTTCACGATCCACGTCAAGTCAACAATGTCTTACAGGAAAGATTTGTATCACAATACACTTTAAGTCTTGTGACTCTTGTGTTCCATAAGAAACCACTTTACTGCTGCCGTACAACCGTATCCAATCCACGCAATTTTGCTCTCTATTCAATTGAGCACGAGATGAGCGGTATTTGTGCGCCAAGTTTTCTTATCCAACACAAATATAATGAGCAAAAAAAAATTTTTTTTTTTTTCCTTTTTTTTTTTTTTTTTTTTTTTTTTTTCATATGCTTACAAATGAGCTACGTAAATATTACTTATTGATACGTTCTAATCGGGTGGACTCCTATGTGGCGACTGTAATATAGCCATTTCGGTCGAGGCTACCGGATGAACGGCATCTAAAATGAGATTTCGCGTTCCCCTCCATTAATGTATGGCGAGGTATAGAGCAAATAATATAGCCCATGTTCAATATTCCCGTAAAGGTTAGTAACGATTGATTCCACAAGGCATTTTCAATTGTCTTTGGCTCAATTTGACAAAAACTTTTTGTCCAATTTAATCGCTTGATTTCGACTCGATTCGCCCTCAATCGTTGTGCACAATGAAACCGAACAATTCCTTAAGGTTTTCTTATCGTTCAGAACGGTTTTCAACAATTGATTTCGTTTCCCATTATTTCCTCGACTTTCTGGTTAATCTCCTGATGTAATTCTTAGCATTTTGGCACCAAATCGATCACCTAATCACTCCGACTCTTTACTCCTCGTATACAATTCGATTCGGAAGCAATTTCTTATTAATCGCATGCGGTAAAAATTTTTCATTGTTGGATCCAATTTTGTACAATCTCTTTGTACATTGGACACAAACCTTTGATTGGCAAAAGATTATAAATAATAATAATTAATAGATTGTTGACCATATTAAATAGAAATGCTTGCATACTGTACTTGTACCCCCTTGACCAATAACAAAGAAGTCATTAAAATTTCCATTGCACATATAATACTTGTTGTTACATTGTTGGCCTAAATTGGAATGGGCCCGCGCTTAAAGGTTTTTCTTTTCGAGTTTGAATCGTCAAGACAAATTTGAAATCAATCAAGTCGAAAGTTAAGCATCAAATTCTTTAAAATCAACTTTTTAAGAAGATGGATACGATTTTTTACGTCGTTGCCATTAAAATTTTTAAATTTTATAATAGACCTGACCTAGTCACATTTATAATTAGTTTACTGCATATACTGTATAATAAAGTGATCCTTAAATTTTTTTTAAGATCTACCATAATAATTAAACTTTTTAAAAACTTTTAAACCCTAAAATTGGTGATCGAAGTATCTACGTAAAGGCAACTGCGCAAAGATCCGATTATATACTTAATAAAGAAAATTTTTTAGATTAAACATCATTAAACATTATACAGTATAACTAAAAAATAAATTGTATCAAGGAATAAAATCCATTGGAAAAAAAGTCTTTGATTTAACAAATGGTTGCACGTTTTTTTTTTTTTTTTTTTTTTTAATTCGGATAATAAGAATCGTGCGAAATACAGTGTATATTTTATATTCACCGGATGCTAAATTACTGGTTCTTACTGATTTTTAATGAAATCTTTCAAACGCGAGTATACTTACTTTTCAGTATATTGTTTTTATATTATTTTTCTTTTCTATTATTTCATATCATTCATAAATTAAATTTCATAGAATATTCACTATAAATAAATTCCTTATTAAAATTGAGGATTAAACTATTTACATCAATTTAAATTATATATATATATATTTATTTATTTTTGGATCATGTTTTTTCTATGAAATTATCACGAATTGGGTTTCTTTCTTTATAATCATAGATATAAGCGAAGATGAGTGTTTCATGCTAAATTAGTTTCATCACTTGCCTTTAGACTAGATAATCCCGATTCGATCGATCGAATTTAAACCTGTCCCTTCTACACATCTCGTTATAGCACATCAATTCAGGATTACTATGGGTAATACGCCTTCTGCTAATGGCAGATGCTTCCAATACATCGGTCGGCCCGAAAATAATACAATCATATTTTAATATATCTCTAGAATTATAAAGTAAAGAAAAATTTCAATTTGAAAATGCGATTCCCATTTGATTTTTTAAAAAGCTCCAGTTACGGGTTCAAAAACTTCATGCACAAAAGTATTTTCTTTTATTAAAAATTATCAATACCATAATATACTGCATAAATGATATTATGCTAAAATAAATAATAGCAAGATGTTTTAGGTCTTGCAAATACTCGTGTAGATTAGAATACCTTCCTAATTAAATCTTTTTTGATCATCACCTAGCTCTTTTGCCACTTTCCTATTAATAGTTTTGTCATTTTGAAACAACGTAAGAATATCATTATCTGACATTTATCTGGTAGTTCAAAAGAAGAAATTCATTTTTAACATTGTCAAAAATATTTTTTTTTTTTTTATTAATTCGGGCTCAATCATTTCTGGAATCCCTGTTAATACATTTCCTCAAATACTGCAAAAATATGAGGTTTAAAGGTCTAAAATAATTAGAGTGTTGGAAAAAAAAAAAAAAGACGAAATCAAAATGCACAGAAAATTAAACCTCACGGTACTTTGGCGTGTTCTTCGATTCTATTCTCTGAAGTTCGTTGAGCAGACACATCACGGTATTCAAATAATAAACTCGAAGCATTGGGTGTGTCGATGATCCACTACGTGTATAAGAAAGAGTTAAAATCTTTTTGTAAATAAATCTAAGATAAAGTTTAAATATTACCTTTTTTGCACCCTCACTTAACGAAGATTAATAGGTATAATTGTTTCTCTTCTTTTCCTATCTCAACAAGTGTCACCACACGATTCCGATTTGTTTCCATCAGGAGTTGTTTTCATATTATTTTTAATTTTTTTATAATTTATAAATTAAGTTATAAAATATTGCGAGTTATTATCCCATCGGCTCTTCCAGATACAACGATCGTTTTCCATTAAATTTAAAGTCTGGAAATAAATTTGCAAAATTATCCAAATAAATTCTCAATGGTTCAAACCTACATAAAAACTAACCCTTTCCACGTGTTTTGTGGGAACTTTCTTTCGCGACATCCAGAGGTCGTTTCACAAGTCGGGTAGTTTTTGCGTCAGCAGAGTTGTCGGTACCACGTTCTGATTTACTTTCTGATACTGTAATTGTTACAATTGGGAAATGAAATGCACGATAATGAGGTGAGAGATGTAGAATGACGAAAAGGCGTAATGCTTGGAATAGTAAAGCCACAGACAGTAAACTCGGATTAAATCTCTCGACAACATTACGAACTTCAATCAGGGCGAGAGTGCTTTTGCACTTAAACGGAAATGCTTTACCCGTGCATCCTCCAGTCCCAAAAGGTCACTCGATTAAGTGGATGTTTGTATTGAAATGTGAGTGAATGTCTGTTTCAAAAAAAAAACATGGACTTGCCACATAGAACGCGATAACAGTATAAGCAAACACCAATTTTAGCGACCGAAAATACGTCATTACTGCGCCAGTGACACAAAACATGCCAAGTGAAGTTTATTTAAGATCACCTGCGTAGAAGTATAGCACGTGATAGAATATTTCATATTTATAAATTCAACAAAAGTAATCGCATTTTAAAATCTATCCAAAGTTTGTAAACTTACAAAGTACGTACGCACACTTCTAAATCGGAATTCCTTAACACCGCGCACACAAATTTTTCGCGTGTCTCTCTAGTTAAAATAATACATTGCTATTCACTAGTTCAAAATTTGGTTTTTCTCTGTTTTGTTTTTATGATTTTTTGTAAAATCCCACGCGCGTAGAGATTTTTTTCCATAGAAAAATTTGCTAAGATTAAGGTTCTTCACGATAGGGAAGAGAAAACGATCAAAAACACAAAACCACGACGGCAAAATGTCTCAAATGCCAGCTGAAGGTGATGGTAAGTCCTAAATTTCTGATCCGTAATTATCCAGTCAACATCTAGATAAGCGGGAACGAAATTACGATCAAATTTAATGTCCAAATTATTACTTTTTGAAGACGATTTTTATGATCCCATGAATATGGATGACTATGACGAACAACTTGATAACGCGGCCGGTCCTTCATATCATTCTCAATCAAGTTACAATATAAGGGAGGGTGGTCAATTCAGTAGCGGTGATCGTCACCTTAGTGGTGGTGGTTACGAAGAAGGTTTCTTCTCAAGTCCTCACCAACATCATAAAGGTGGTCATCATCACAGGCAAAGTCAACAGGGCGATAAGACTGTAGATCAAGATTTCTTCAATGGCAAGTATATATAACTTTGACTTTTTTTTGTAACCAACCATTCATATTTTTATATCGTTAATTTCTCATACTGCCTTCAAAGACTTCCCCGACGACTTTGATGATGATGATTTAAAATAAAATAATGAACACACATAAAGTCTACGAGTGAATACATTTGAGCGATCTATCCCTCTTAGAATTTGGAATATTTAATCATGAAGGGAATCCTTGACTAGATATATATTTCATTTCAATTGACGGATGTTTGAAAAATAGAAATAACATTCGTGCGGTGACGAATTACAGTGTAAACCTGATTATTACAAATGTCATAAATTATTTCGTTGATTTATTAAAAAATTAGTTTAGAAACATCTTATTTTGCGAATGATATTATGACTCAATGCTCAAAGTCTTCAGTCCAGCAATTCCAACTCCTTTCACCAACCCTACGATGTAAACTCCAACCCTACGATGTCCACCAATTTTATATATTTTCACATTCTCTTTGCCTCGAAATACCGCCTCAGCAATTTTCTGTAATTCTTTGTATCCATCCCTTTGTCCGTAGGGATCTTCAATATTCGTTCCGGTTAATGGTTCAAAAAACTCTTGAAATGTTAACACTCGATTTTCATGTTCTGTTATCTTTTCATCCTCGGTCATAATGTTAAAATTATCCTGTTGGATTAATGATGCAAACTCTGAACCTGTGTCTGGTAGCGAGTTAATTTCTTCGTTTGGTATAAATATGAATTCATAAGGTTCTTCACCCTCGGAGACATATAATAATTGAGAGCTTGCTTCGATTAGATTACTACGAATATGTTGAATTTCAGGCGGATAGGTTGATGGATCTATTTGAGAGGTAGCAACTTTTTCATCCAATTGTGATTCTTCTAATCGTTCTACTTGTTGGGAAACGTGCTCGAGAAAGGCGAGGTGTTCAGAGGCTTGTGAACCTTGGGCTGTCTCTTGAGAATAACTCATGTTGATTTTGAATAGACCAAAAGGGAAATCCGTTTGTCATAAAAACTTTTTTTTTTACGTATAAATAGTCAGTTCCTCATTGCCCCTTTTGACATCGCCGCCATCTTTTCCGCATATCTCTAGTTTAATTAGACGATCACCGTGTGATTTTTTTTTATCTCTTCCTCGAAAAAAGATGCTATCGTGTCACAGGTCATTCACCATTGTTTAATGATGTTGGCTGTATTTTTATTATCAAGGAAAACAAACTATTGTAATATTATATTTATAAAGAATTGAATTTGTAATTTATTAATAAACAACATTTATATTTAAAAAATAAATTTACAGTATACTAATAAGAAATAATTTTTATTGATTATTGTTGAAGTTTATACCAATGAGCCAATAACTACCTTTATTAAACCAATTTGAAGATTAATTTCAAGAATCATTTCTATTTTCTCTTTCTTGTTTATATTTCTTTTTTATTCAAAAACTTGATTTTCAATAGTCAAAAAAAAATAAAGAAACACTTTTTTTATTTATGATAAAAAAAATTTTTTTAAAGAAAAGAAAAATTAATAAAGCAATACTAAAAATCTCTCTTTTAAAACAAAAGTATATATAGAGATATTGTATAGTGAGAGATAAATAAACAAAGTTTAAATCTTGAAAACTTGTTTATTTACTGTTTCTATCCTTTTATAGTTATATATTTTTTAATTATTTTGAAAAATTCTGGTTATTCAATTTAACCTTGAATTTTATAAACATATATAATATAATTTTTATTAAAGAGAATTAATTAATATGAAACATATTGATAGTAAAATATAAACAAATATAACATTTTATAATTGAAAATGACAAAATATCTTTGAATGGAAAAAGAGAAATAATTGGATCAAAGAATATCTTTCATTAGAAGAATACAAAAAAGCTATATCATCACTTAAAAACAATCAACTGATACAATATATCTGAACCAGCTAATTGATCAAAAAATCAAAAAAATAAGAGACTGGTGAATGTTTCAGCTCCTACAAAATACAAACAAAGGATCTATATCAGAATGGTTTCAAATTATAATCCAAAAATCTTTCAGAAGAACAACTAAAGTAACTTATAAGATCCAGGAGAAAGAATTATTTAAAATAAGAACCAATATACTCAAAAATAGATTTTAATCAAGATAAGTGAAAAAAATTTTGGATAGTAATAGGAAATAAAAGAAATCAAGTAACTTAGAGAAAATTAAAACAAGAAAAAAAAGGAAATGTTGTAATAATAGAGTATTTTATCAATCATAACTTTAACAATGATCAGGAAACCAATATACAAAAATGTTTCATATATTCGAAAAGCACAACACTAAATAATGACTGTATCATTGAAAGAAAAATAAAAAATATATATATAGTATCATATCTCAATATAAGAAAGTCTACCAGAAAATACGTGACTTAAAAATTCTCAACCTCAAAATAGCACTTGAAAAAAGAATTAAAGAAGTGATTTATAGCAACCAAGGTCCCTTAAAAATCTAAAATAATAGAATAAATCACATAGATATTGAAACCTGGAAAGAATCTATTATCAAAAAACATATTAAAGAAGGATTATATAAAAATCACCTAATAGATATACTTCAATGTAACCTTGGATCTAAAAAAATACTAATCTTCTATTCTAATGAAGCATTTACTAATTATGAAAAAGAAAATATGAAGATGGGAGTAGCCTGAATCTAAATAAGAAAAGAAGAAAAGAAAAGCAAGTTCCAAACAGGAGTAAATAATTGACTCTTATTTACAAGAGTAGAATTGATAGCAATTATAACAATACTTCTAGTAGTTTAATTGAAAGCATGATGGAAATTTTTACAGATAGTCAAGTATATATTTTCAAATGAAAATTCTTAGAAAAAAAAGACCTGAAAAAAATATACAAGAGATGACTCAAAGAAAAAAATTGGTTCATATAGATATATATAGTAGCCTAATAAAAAATATATATATAAATCTAAAACTCACAAAAGTCAAGACACACTCAAATAACCCTTATAATGAAGAAGCAGATATCTTAATTAAAAAAGCACTAAAATTTCCATCGATTGAATAAAAAGATTTTACTTTACACAAAATTATAACTAAAATCAAATAGAAGAAAAAACACTAAATGATTCAATTAAGCAGTTTCTTAAGAATATTAATAATAAGACAACAGTCTATCAGTAGATACAATAAAACAGAACAGAGAAAAAATGAAGTCATCAGATTTTAGAACACCAAGTTTATATATGGAATCTAGTATAGGAAAGGATTAAAGATGAATATATGTGGGATACTTCTTTTAAACAATCTCAACAAAAAAACTTTTTTATTAAACTGGTCAATGATGAGCTATTCACCTTAAGTAAGTTAGCTATAAGAAGACCAGATCTATATAAGCAAATAAAATGCATTGTATATAATTAACAAGATTAAACCATAGAATACTGGCTAAAATATTCAACCTATAAAGATCAGCTACAAGAGGCATAAAATAAAATAATAGATATAATCACCAAAAACTTTAAAAAACTCTTGTGGGAAAAAAAAAGAGAGACTGAAGAAAAAAATTCCAGGCTGATTATTAATGATCATGAAGAAATAAGAGAGTTTGACAAGTGAATCACTAAAGTAATGGAACAAACTTTTGGAACAAGTCAGATATACTAAGTTTCTGTATTAGCCTTATAAAAACTAACCTTATTCTAGAAGTAGTAGATCTAAAATGTCAAGATAAATGTATAGAAAGAATAGTAAGAAAGTGGATAATAAAAATACAAAAAAGAGCCTGCAACCAAATCTGAAAAGAAGTTTAAAACAAGAGATATAAAAGGATAATCTAATGGGAATAAACACAAGAAATTAATAAAGAAAATAAGATAAAAAGTCCTTCTTATCTATCAAGCCAGAAAACAATGACCCTGAAGAAAAGAAATCCACTATCTGAAAAAGAAAACCTGAAAGATGAAAGCCTTTGAGAAATTTTAACAAGAAGAGTAGAGTATGGAATAAAATGGTTGGGTTTTAAGCTTTGCCAGAATCTCTCAAAGTAATCTGCAGTAGTGATCTGTAGACAATGAAGTTAACAGTTGGAAGGATCTTTACTTAAACTGTTTATAGAATGATAAATCACTCCCAAAGTTGCACTTAGAGTTTTAATAATTCTTAAAATAGAGATAAGTGAGTTAGATAGAGACTTAGCTTTAGCAATATATTTTTAATATAAAGTATACATATGTTTAATAAAGTATATATATCTAACCTGATAGAGAGTATAAAAAAAAAAAGAAGTTTTAATAAATATTCTAAATAAAATTTCTTTCCTTTGAATAAGTTGCATAGCAAGAAATTGATATACAGACTAACTATTCCATCCATTTATTTAATTTATAATCTCCTTTTTTATTAAAATTTTTTTAATATTAGTAATCTTTTGTTAATCCATACTTTAGAAATAGCAATATGCCCAAGGATGGCTCTAATGGTCATAGCATATAACTTTATAGGTTTCAATTATATTTTTAATATGTTTTTTATTTTATATTTGAAACTATATTCAATAAAGTAAAGGCTGGGCTGGTTATTAAAAAAATTTTTTTTAATTTTTAATAAATTATAAATAATTTTATAATAATTTTTAATAAATTATAAATATATTAATTTTTATAATATTTATTATTAAATTATATAATAATTAATAATTGTTGATTTATATATAAAAATAAGTTTTTTTTTTTTTTTTATAACTGGCTTATCTTTGTTTTATTTGTGAGAAAGATTCATTGTGTATATATGATTATGTATTTACAATTTTTATGTCTTTCTAAAATACAAATGCAACTATCTAAAAATAGATTTATCCTTCTTATTAATCAGCTTGTTGCTACCCACTGTGGGGCTTAATATGCCAAGAATGGTTAATTAGTATTGAAATTAGAAGAAAAAAGAAAAGAAAAATTATGAATGGATTTGTGATTCCTTTAAATAACCAATTTATGTAATGGTTGACAAGATCTATGTATTGTCTTTGATTAGTAGTTCAGATAATATGGTATCTGGTGTTGGTTATACTTGAGTATGACTTTTAGATTATTTGTCTTTTTTCCAGATATTGTTTGTTATTTCCCATTCTACAGTGTATTTATAGTACTCCTTCTATATTGAGTATAAAAATTCTCTATATTGATTCATGCACTTTTGAAATATTGATTATGTTATTGCATGTGAACCCATGTAATTGTTGATTGCCAGGATGAAACCTTTCTTGATGGTGTCTTTGATGAGATCTGAGATTGCTTGGGATTTGATTTGTTAAAAGACATGTCCTTTATTATATAAGAGAGAGGAGAAGCAGTAATAAATGCTTTATAGTCTTTCAGATTTTGTGTAAAGATACTTGTTAGTTTTGTCTATGTGTTTTCCATGTTATTATACATAAGAAGGCATGGGAAGTAGTTTTTGTTTCTTGATATTTGGTACAGTTTTTGTTTTTTTATATATATAGTTTGCATCGGTTTAGTTTGGTCATGGTAGGTAGTTCATTATTCCAAAGATTGATTGCAAATTTTGAGTATTTTGATTAGTTGTAGATATATTACTATGATTAATGTTACTGGAATTGAGGTAGTTGAAAGTACTTTGCTAGTCTATTATTCTGTTTTTTTCCATATCAATTCATATTCTATTCCTTCTAATAAGTCTCCATTGGGCTAAATGTTTGATATAAAATACTGTTTTGCAAAACTCTTTTATTGGCATATCTATTATATTGTATCTCCATGTGACATAGCATAGGTTGTTTTGTGAAGTGATAATAGAATTGAGTTTTCTTTGGCCTGGCATTATGTTGATATAGTTGATTTTTGCCAGTTGATTAGCTGTTTCGTTGCCTACGATGCCTGTATATACTTTTACTTTATATAGAAAGAGTTGAATTCAATATTCCTTGTATCCTTGCACTATGTTGAG